TAGCGTAGATGCCATTCTTCTAACGATGTAGCAAGTACATCGGGTGTTATGGGAAGTGTTCCCGGTTCCGGTTTTCCTAATTAATGCAGCCTAACAATTCTTTAACGGATTTAAATATTAGAAATGTGTTCGTGTGTTTTGTGTAAGCCAGGTTAAAGAGATGGATCTAGAGGATCTATATTTAAACTGACAGAGTGTGTCTGCCTCCCGAACAATGTTAAAGCAGTAAGAAATTACTCGTCATCCAGTTTTTATATCGACTATTCATTCCATTTTTTCAAATTGGTATGTTTCGCCGGGCCGCGAATAAATATAGAGCTGAGTATCATCAGCATAACAGTGAAAGCTAACACCATGTTTCCTGATGATATCTCCCAAGGGTAACATGTAAAGCGTGACAAGTACCGGCCCTAGTACTGAGCCTTGAGGTACTCCATACTGCACTTGTGATTGATATAATGCCTCTTCATTCACTGCTACGAATTGATGGCGGTCATATAAATACGATTTGAACCATGCTAATGCACTTCCACTAATGCCAACAAAGTTTTCTAGTCTATTCAAAAGAATGTTGTGGTCAATAGTGTCGAACGCAGTGCTAAGTTCCAGTAGCACTAATAGAGAGATACAACCACGATCAGATGATAAGAGCAAGCAGGTCATTTGTAACTCTAATTAGAGCAGTCTAAGTACTATGATATGGTCTAAATCCTGACTGGAAATCCTCACAGTGAGATACCATTTTTCTCTAAGGAATATAATTGTGAGGATACTACCTTTTCTAGTATATTGGACAGAAAAGGGAGATTCGAGATCGGTCTGTAAGTTAAGCGTCCGGTGGCGTCTCAGCAGCTGGCGCAGCTGTGCTGGTTTCTCTTGCACTGAGAGGCGCGTCAGTGAGCTGCTGTGCATCAGTTCAGTTCTGCTTCAGCTTCATTTGTTTATATTTCTGATGTTCTGATAAACACCATTAATGATGTTGATTCATGTTTTGAGTTTATACAGTGTAGGACATGATCCGCTATGGGTTTGTGTTTGTTTATGAGATATTGCTGAAGGTTTGATAATGTTTTCAGCTCTGACTGAAGCTGAATTGACTCTCTCTCTCTCTCTCTGTGTGTGTGTGTGTGTGTGTGTGTGTGTGTGTGTGTGTGTGTGTGTGTGTTTGCAACATCCGCCTGGCAGCAGGAGAAGCGAGTGATCCTGTCTCTGATCATCACGGATTTCTCTGTGCGGATCACAGCAGCTCCAGCTGTAATTTACCGGAAGCCTCTGTCAGCGGATCACGGCCCAGCCGAGGTACACGTCTGTGTGTGTGATGATTCAGTGACGCTCTGTCTTCTGTCAGATGGTGGCGTGTGTCTGGCAGCAGGAGAAGCGAGTGATCCTGTCTCTGATCATCACGGATTTCTCTGTGCGGATCACAGCAGCTCCAGCTGTAATTTACCGGAAGCCTCTGTCAGCGGATCACGGCCCAGCCGAGGTACACGTGTGTGTGTGTGATGTTTCAGTGATGCTCTGTCTTCTGTCAGATGAAAGCATGTGTGTTCAGGATGGGACGCTGGAGTGTTTTGGGAAGTTGGAGCTGCTGGAGAAGCTGAAGCCGCTGCTCAAGCGAGACGAACAGTTTCTCGGTTTTTGCACAGTAATGCTTTCGCCGTGTGTTTGTTTGCTTCAGTGAGGTTTTGACGTCAGCTCCATGCTTGACCTTAAATACTGAAAATCACTAAACAAACAGCCACTGGTTTCACTTTTCACAAATCTGAACAGAAAAGCCGTCCAGAGGCCATCTGACATGCAGGTTTAGAGCGTCAGGACGGTTATAGTGAATGGAGATCTAAACATGTTCCGTTAGTGAAAGAGCTTTTCACCAAACGCTTTAATCAGACACATCTTTAACTCATGCAGTAACGATTACGGTTGACAGCTTTAATATCCTTTGTGTGTCACAGGTGTCTGTTTATTGGCAGCTTCAAACGTGGCTCATCCAATCAGATCTCAGTTAAATAACTCCCGTAATTCTCTCTGTCCGTGTTCTGTATTTGATGATCAGCTGTACGTCTGTTAAAGCTGTAAAAATGAAAAAGCACAAAGTAAAGTGAATCAATGACGGCCGTGCCTCTGTCTGCAGGAAGTGGTGGTGTGCGACCACAGTCTGGAGATTAACGTGACGTCCAGCCTGGAGCTGTTTCTGAGCACAGACCAGGCCAACATGATGCTAACGAGCGCAGACGACACCGCAGCGGACGTACGGC